TACTAATTAAATCTTCATGAGTGGGAAATTGGTTACTTGAGTAAGTGATACTGATGTTATATTTTTTACTGTTTCAGATTTGCAGTGATGGCCTGTTGCTGGGCCCTTGATCCTGAGGATAGGCCTAAGTTCCAGCAGCTGGTACAGTGCCTCACTGAGTTCCATGCAGCTCTTGGGGCATATGTCTGAAATCCAGCCTGTGGCTCAAGAAAGGCCTGCAAAACTGGTGATCAGCACTACACATAAGGAAGTTATCTTCCAAAAAATTGTGCCTTGTTATATATATATAAAAACTTGTGGACAGCTTTTAATGTTGTAAAATATTCTGAATTTTTGTAGTGTCAGAAATCTCCGTACATTTCCTCTGCCTGAAATTTCATTTCAGTGAAATGTTTGGTATTTCCTTGATCTGAACAAAGCTCATGAAAAACCTGCGGCTGATCGGAATCTCAACTGAGAAACTTTATCATTAAGAGGTCACGTTTATTTTCCTGTGCTGCGAAAGTATTCCTTGATTTTGATCAGGACCTTGAACAGATTTGACAACCTAAAAGTTTAATTGCACACTTAAAGGTTTGTAAGATACCAGTGCTCAGAGTACAAGAAAGCTACTGCAAATAGCATTTTTATATCATAACCTGATACATTTTGATGTCTCCTTGGATAAATGCAGATATTTTAAATTAATTTTGTTTGACGTTTATTTATATTTTAGATTTGAGGTATTTGTAAGAGTGAAAAAGAATAATGCGAAAACAAGTAAAATCGAAGTTTACTTGTTGGCTGAAATGTCTGCTCTCATGCAAGAGAACATAATGACCAGAGAGCTGAGATATGACAGATGTTTTTTCAAGGTCCTTCTCAAGTGCAGATCCGGATCAACTTTTAAAGGAGGGTTTCTTTGTCCGTCTTCCGGTGTTATCAGTTCTCAGCTGTTGAATATCCTGCTCCAAGTTGATATATTACAGTTACTTTCCCAGTTTAAAAAAAGTGTTCCTGCAAACATTTCTCAAAGCTGGTTTGTAAATAGTGTCACGGGGAAGCAAGTTAACATTGCACAATCAAAATATTCTTCAAATGTGACTTTTACAATCAGAAAGACAAAGGTTGTTTACTTAACATTTTTATGTCATTTTAAAGGGGGCATTTTGCAGAAGCATTTTTGTTTTTTTTACGTTTAAGATGAACAACAGAAAAGTGAATGTGTAGCACGAATAGTGAAATAATAATGATATCTTTAACAAATGCTGCTATTTGAATATGTTGTACTATTCTCGGCAGTGTTTTTTTTTTAATGCAGAACACAGGAAAGAGCCAAGACGTGTTCAGATATTTTTAATCCGCATTTTGGTACACTTTGGTGTTTTTTCTTCTCGGAACAAGCCCTAATTAAGGAGGTGTGGACAAGCCCCCCCACACAGTTATGGGTTACACAGTAAGCAAATGCTATGAGCAGATTTTGTCTTCAATTTGGTTGGTCACACTGGTGACATTGACAAGGTTGTTGATTCCCATCACCACCCTGAGTGAGCTTAGCCAAGGGGCTACTACAGAAGGACTTGATGGA